TGATAATTTAATTTATATAATATGATATATGAAATTCATTACCCAATAAAAATGGGACACGTGTCCCATTTAAAAAAAAAACACTTACCTTCTTACCTCTCACGCGCCTCTAGAGAGGATGTAATTCACATAAGGCCCTAGGGCACACCTAAGAATTTGCCCTAGGCATCTGTTAGAAAAAGACTTTAAATATTTATTTCGGCCGACTTAACAACAGATTTTATCAAATCTTTTTGTTATATCACATTTAATTTTAAACCATAAGATATCGAACATAAGCTAAAACTAAAGTTAGCCATCAGCTATCAGTTCAATTTATCAACTGTCAGTTATCTTTTACTTACTGAAAGAAACTGGGGGAACATAAGCTAAAAATAAATTTAGCCATCAGCTATCAGTTCAATTTATCAACTGTCAGTTATCTTTTACTAAACTTACTGAAAGAAACTGGGGGAAAACGGGTGCGGGCATGAGAGGAAAAAACCCATATGAAGCCCAAATGAGTCTATTTTTCAATTGGTGGAAGGAGGGGTAACCCATTAGACTTATAAAGTGAGTCTATTTTTTATGTATGAACGATGTGAAACAACTCATAAGTGATATTCTAACACGCCCACTCATTTGTGAGTCCTTCGGAAGCCCAAGCCCAACAGGGTTGGGTGCCTCAAGCCTACTAAAAGCAGACTCCCATAAATGGGTACGTCATCGCACGGTCCCAATAGAACCGACTCTGATACCATGAAAAAAATTGAGGGAAAACAAGTGCAGGCCCACTAACATGAAGCGCACCATTAGAGGGAAAAACTCATATGAAGCACAAATGGGGTTTCATCCCAAAACCAATTGGTGGAAGGAGAAATAGCCCATCAGACTTATAAGGTGAGTCTATTTTCCATGTATGAACGATATGGTACAACACACAAGTGATATTCTAACCCATACTAAACATACAACTAAACTTACAAAACATTTGGTGGTTCATTGTGGTCCATATATCTATCCATGCATTACAAGTGAAGAAGCAAAAGAAGTCCACTCGAGTTCACTCTCAAGTATGTGGTTATATAGTATCAACTAATAATCAAGTAAAATACAATTTAATGGATCTCAAAGCCGAAAAAAGTTTGTTCAAAGTTGGAAAAAAGAAGAAAGTCATGCATGTGAATGAAGAGTGGGCTTCATTTATCCCCACACGTGAACTTGTCTTGTTAAGAGATAGTCCTATGTAAGTATCTTTTTCGTCCCTTACAAGATCTTTCTGC